GCCGGGTGGCACACACCTGTCATCCTGGCACTCAGGAGGCTGAGGCAGGAAGGTTGCTGCAAGTTTGAGCCCAGCCTGGGCTACAGAGTGAGGCCCTGACTCAAAACAACAGTAAAAAGGAGGATATGGGCCATTAAAAGCCATCTTTGAATTCCCCAACAATGGAAACTAATCTCTCCTGCCACAATCACCAGGTTCTCTGTGGGATGACGCACAGGCCCAAGGGGCAGGGCTGTGCATGTCCTGGCTATGCTGTCACAGCTCATCGTGCACTGAAGAGAGATGATTGGCTGCACACAAACTTCATCTCAGTAAAGTTAATCTAAACAAAAATTTTGTAAAATAGGTTAAACAGCGACTGAGTGTTACCAGCAGCCTCCAGACCTTATTTTGTTTCTGTTTTTTGAGGCAGGGTCTCGCTACTCCAGGCCAACGGAACTCCCTGGGTAGCGCAGGCTGGCCTGAAACTCACAGAGATCCTCCTGCCTCAGCCTCCCAAGTGCTGGGATTCCAGGTGTGCATCGCCCCACCCACCAAGTTTCCAGATTTTAAATAACCAGATCCAGGCAGTGCTCCATCCACACCCAGCTCCCATGGCAGAGGGAAGTGGGGGCGACTCCTTCAAAGGTGCCCAGAACAGAAGCAGAGTCCCATCTCCCAGGTCAGATATTTTCCAGCTCAGGTCCAAGATAAGTAATATTCTGCAGATTAAAGGGTAAGGTGCCTGTCAATATGAAACAATCCCAAACTTTCCTAGGCGTACGTGGAAGTAACGACCGCTCCTCCAACACCATTCCTCACCCCTGCCCCAAACATGGTGTAAGATAAACCAGCTTTCCCAAACATGCAGCATGTGAGCGTGCATTAGGTCCAGGGGCCTAACTCTAGGGGGCTTTTAATCATTGCTTCCCAAGCTGGATTCGGGGTGCACTCCGGATCCCATCACGTGGGTTGGGAGGATCACTGCAAGTTCAAGGCCAGCCCGAATTATATTTAAAAAGCCTAAATACATGCATGCATACATGCTGCCTTGGACTTGTTTTTGCAGTGAGGGAGTAGATGCCATTGAAATTAGAATAAGCGGAAATACGGACAGCAGGAGATGTGACTATAATCCCAGCTACCTGGGAGGCTGAGGCAGGAGAGTAAGCAGTTGGCAGGTAGCTTGGCAACTTCATGAGACTCTGTCTCACAAACCAAAATTGAAGGTGGGCACAGGACGGAGTGCAGCGGCGGAGTGCGAGGCTTTAGGTTCGACGCCTAGTCACCCCCACAACCAGCAAGCAGCTTTGGGGAGCTGGAGTAAGAAAGAGAAGAGAGGCACAGGACTGCTGGGCAGATGGCTCCGCCCTAAGGGTGTTCGCGTACAAGGTGAAAGTGCCAGAGCAGGACGTGTAACGCAAGAACAGGGTGGGTAATGGATGCATTTCAAAAAAGGCAGTTCCGAGGAAGCCACCGGGATGGAGGATTTTGCACAGTAACTCACAGCAGCGGGATGGGTTTCTCCTCACCAATCTGCCGCGGATTCTCAGCTGCAGCACCAGGGTCAGCGTCCTGGGCTAACCTCCCTTCCTCCCACCCGCCTGGCTGAGACAGCCATGTGGCACAGGGTGTGGTGTCCACATGAGATCGAGGCTCTGCAGGTTTTCCTGGAAAGAGAAGCTAAGCCCTGTCTGTCCCAGAGAGAGCTTCAGAGGGAACCAAGGTGCCTTTCACAGCCTCCGAGGGCTCTGCCAGAGCCACCTCGCACTTGGGGCCAGCATCCTTCTCCCGCAAGGCATGGCTCACAACGATGCTTGGTGGAGTGTACTGCCCCCTCTCTGTAATGCATCCTGCAAGCTCCTATTCACCCATAAAAGCCCAACACAGAACAGTTTCTCCGGCAGGTCCCCCTGATCTTCCTCCTCCTCTGTGCTATGTACCACTGTGAAGCTGTTGCTACCACCACACTTAAACCGCCGGCTAACATGTGTCCCTGTCTCCATCCCTCGGTGTGGGAAGTAGGACCGGCCATGTCATATTACTAAAGTTCCACCCTCGAAGTGGGCCAACCAGGCATTCATATATGTGGACATCAAATACTGGGGCAAAAAACTACCCTAAAAGGAAGTATCGTTCATTCAGCCTGTGAGATAACACAAGACCCCAGGACTCCCTGAGATGAAAGATCAGGCACGGGAAAGTGATGTGACAAGCCTCCTGAGCCCAGTGAGCCTGCTAAGAGGTGGGCTTTCAATGAGACCACACAAAACAGCCCGCTCTGGGAAGCACCAAGGCAGACCCGGAATATGAGGGTGCAGGGAAGGCTTGGGGGACTGTGAGGCACGCGGAGGATGCCGGGAACTCAGGTTGGGGCGTCGGACTGTCACAGAGTGTCACACAGCTGAGGTCCTGCAGAACAGGCAGCCAGGGACAGGGACAAAGGAGAAGAAAGACCGAACTAAAATCAAGCTTTTTCTCAATGTGGCCTGGCCTCTGTCCCCACCATCCACCCACCCTTCCGCCCTTCGCCATTCTGTTCCAGGCCTTTCCCTGAATGAGCTGGGCCTTGTCTCACTGTGTGATTCAGGCTGGCCATGAGGTCACATGGAGGCCAGACTAGCCTTGAACTCACAGTGATCCTCCTGCCTCAGCCTCCCAAGTGCTGAGATTACAGGTCTGTGCCACACTGCCTGGCTGTCTTTGAACTCACAGGGTGGAAAGTTGCACCTGAAGCCCGTGATGGCCAGCACCAAGGAATCCTAGACAAGACAGAGGTGCAGAAAGCCCAGGCTGCGTCCCCAGCACCACCATGCAAGAGGGAAGGAAGGAAGGAGATGGATGCCCCAAGACCACCCAGGACGGCCCACCCTCCTGTGGTCCAGCTGGGTGACACTGCTCTGAAGGGGTGCAGGCTGTCACCAAAGCAGGCTGCAAAAGCAAAGTCGCGCCCTGGGATGCAGCTGCTCTTCCTCTTGGCATGTGTTCATGGTCACGAGTACCTTCCCGTGACAGCGCTGTGTGGACCCAGGCTGCATGAACACATGCACACGTACACACGTGTGTGCACACACAAGGGCGGATCCACGGACTCTCAGAGTGAGCCTGGGCTGATCACTCCCAACAGCCATGTGAGCTGCTGGCATTGCACCGAGGGCACGGGGAAAGAAGCCCAGGCGTGCATCCGTGTCCTCTCCCACACGCATGTCCTCTCTCACACGTGTGCCTCTGAGGCTACCTCTATCTCAACGGCTTTTGAATCAACGTTTTCTCTGAAAGGGGAAGTTGTATCCTGCCTGACACATAGCCTGGCACTTCGGTGAGGTGAAGTCCTGTTAGTTATGAGGCAGAGCTGACCCGACAGACACCTGTTACCCAATCAGTTCACCAAGGGCCCTCAAGGTACTGCACCCACAGTTAGGACCAAGCCCCAGAAACTCCAGAATAGCCCTGCTTCATGAGGTTTTGTGCCTGGTTTCTGTAGGATGAGGACCTCACTTTTAATGCCTGTCTCTGACTCTAGATGTCAGAAGATCAAGGACATGGAGCAGAAGGTCAAGGTCAGAGGACACTGCTTCTGTTCCTTCTCAGACGGGATGGCGAATGGTCTTAACAGACACTGAGCGGGATGTGGGGGTGCATGCCTGCAACCCCGGCACTTGGGAGGCTGAGGCAGAAGAAGCACTGTGAGCTTATTTGAAGCCACCCTGGGCTACACAGTGAGCATAACGCCAGCCTGAACTCGCAGGGGAGATCTTCTCTCAAAAAACACGAAATAAACAAAAAGAAGAAATACTGGTACAATGTTTTATGTCTCCAAGAGATTCTGGAAAGTATTTTCCCCCCTTTTCTTCTGTGTTGGCAGAAGAAAATTTTATATTCCTATCCTAGTTATCAACAACCGTGTGGAAAAACTTGGTTTACATTTCACAGAGGAAGACTGCAATGCAGCCAGAATTGGAACTCGGGTTTTCCACACTTAGATCCTTCACTTTGGAGTACAAGACACTACAGCATGAGTGTTCAATGACAGTATCTCAGCATAGCCAGCCACAGATGCAGCGTCAAACACAGACCCAACACTGCGAAATCCCAGAAACTCATTTTGCAATGGCCTGGTTTTCTTAAACAAGTATAGGCTCGGTAAGTGGCCCAGTGTGCTTGACTGTTTGAATTCACACAGACCAATAGGTGAACTAAAATAATACAAAAACATACAGGTGAAAGAAAAAAACCTTAGTTATTTTAAATGCCCAAGAACAAAGGCTAATAGTGTTGAAAAGTCAAAATTACCAAGTAGTTTAGAGATCAGGATGACTTAGACCACAAAGAGAAGGCAGCTTCAGAGTTCTTCATGACTCTTTAGCAAGATCACTGCTGACTTGGCACGAGATTAGCATTTCCCGAGCAGGAGAAATAGACATATTTTGCAGTTGCTTAATATTAGGTAGAACTTCCTGGCCACTTTTTATTGTCCTTAATTAACAGTATCAATAGGTACTGTATATCAGTGTACCTCAACTATCTGGCTCTTAAAATAGAAATACCATATTCCCAGTACTCAGGAGGCTGAGGCAGGAGACTCTCCATGAATTCAAGGCCAGTCAGCCTGGGCAACACTGTGAGTTCAAGGCCAGTACGAGCTACATAGCAATCTCTCGTTCTCACAAAACAAAACAAACAAATACAGAATGAGACACTAATGCCTATCCTATCTCACGCACAAGTATTTAATACTGAAAATGAACAGTTACAAAAATTCTTTGGAAAGGGTAAACATTACACAAAGCCGTTACCACACATATAAGTCATTTTTAAACTGGAGGATAAACAAATGGGAACATAAATGAGCAACTAGTTTGAAACAGAAATGCATATGAGCCGAGAGTACTTACAAACTGAATTATTTGACTTGTGAGATCTGTGGTGATGTATGTTTGTTTAAGCACTGGGTCCGAGTGTAGCTGACTTTCCGCCTTTTACCAACACCAGCTCACAGAATGACACAAAACTTTCCTCACCTGCTCCGTACCTGCGATGAAGCTGTTATGCTAACTGTTATCCACAGCTTTAATGCAGCCAATTCACACGTCTCCTGGTGTCTGGGAGCTAGGCGGGAAGAGGAAGAGGAATGAGGGTTTTTTTTTCCCCAGAAGGAAATGCTGTGGGTTTCAGGTTAGGTCAAAACAGCCACGCTAAGAATTAAGGTTGTGTGGAAGTTATGCAAGAAACTAATGAGGTTAGAGACCTTGATCAGATTCCATGTGGATAATAATTAATTTAACATAAAGCTGGGCAAAAATGCAGCCAGAGCCAGCTACTGCACCAGCTCCTCTCCACTGTAGCCTGGCAGGCGCTAGCCACATGGATGATGCACCGGGATCCCGCGTGCCAGCATCCATCACCAGCTACCGAAACATGTGGACCCTCGAACAGAGCGAGGGGTGCCTCATGAGAAGCACCTGAGTCCCCTGAGGGGTGACCTTACCGGGGCAGGAATTCTCAGCTGCACACTGCAGGGTCCCCTCTAGACCACCTGTCCACTCTCCAGGAGGAGAACAGAGTGGGCAGGGAGATTCCTCACTCCAACCCAGGACAAGGGAGGGACGTGGAAGGGGAAGCTGGGACCATCCTTTGGCACGCCTACCAGGGAGACCCTCTGCATTAGGGGTCCAAGGCCTCAACAGCATCAAAGCTTGGTGGGGGCCAAGCCAGTTTCAGGGGATCAGGGAAAGAAAAGGGTGATCAGTCTGCCTTGGCACTTCCAAAACCCCCCGCCACGGGAATTAAGGTTTTGAGATTCGGGAAACTGAAGTTTACATATATATATGACTCTCTTGAGACCTGGCCACGCCTGCCTGAGTCTTCTCCCACCAGCAAATATTTCTGCCTCTCTCCAAAGTTCAGTGCTGGATCAGGTCACAGGCAGCAGCCCTGACTGAAGCTGGAGACTTCCTCCATCCGTGCCTTTCTCCCCATGGAGCCCAGGAAGCCGGGACGGTGGGCCAGCGTCCCCGCCACCCGCCAGGGGAGGTCACAGCAGCACAGGAATAAAGTCATGGGCTTATTATCCACCCTGCAGTATCCAATTGGAACCAGAGGACCTAAAGTATCTGTAGCAAGGAAACAATTATAGGCACAAGCTGACGGGTGATTGGTTAACTATGCTGGGCGCGGGTGTTGTTACTCTGGTAGTTTCATTAAATAGGAAATCGAAAGATTTATAGGGTAGGCGGTGAGGGCAAGAATGGTGTAAAGGTGAGAAAATATGGCAACACCACGCTGTCCATCACCAACGGGAGGATTATTTATCGGGAAAGTCGGCATTCTTAGGGTCCCAGCATGCAGTGTGTGAAATTCATATATTCAAAGGAGACGTCATAATAACCTGGCGGCAGGAGGTGATGGATAGGTTTTTAATCCAAATGACCACAATCTTCCGTCTGCCTGTCACAGAGGGCCGGGGGAAAAATGAAATTCTCCTTTCATAACTCTTGATGTTGAGAGAGGGAGAATCCGGAGGGATGATAAGTGGCTCATTCCGATGGACAAATGGACACAGCACCCGGGGAAGTGGCGTGAATAAAAGTCATTGTTCCTTAACTAATGCCGTTTTCACTTGTTACACAGGGGGAAGAGATGATTTCTGCCCCTTCCTGTCTAGAAAGCTCTCGTGCAAATGGCAGCAAAAGCTGCAAAATCCCCAATACTCTGTGAGTTAGCCCTGCTGGCCATGCCGGGGTGGGGCAGTGTAACATTTGTCTGTTAACTACAGCTTCAAGGAATTCCTATTTCTATTTATCAGGAAAGGTACATGACCTGTATTTTTTAATGTATATAAATCCACTCAGCACACCACCCAGGCTGATACTGGATGATGCATCAGTCGTGGTTGGTCCAGGTCCAGAGAGGCAGCTGGCATTTGCCACCCTACTCGGCTACTTCGGGTGTTGAAAATCCCCCTTTCCCCATCCGCACCGTGGCGATCTAACTCCACACCAGCAACTTTCCGGTGACAAGATGTTCCTCTGACGATCGAATCACTTCCCCAGCATTTCAAGGAATTGAAGATCACACCAGAGGCCCCATCGGTGCAGCAAGCCTATGAAGGTCTCCCTGCTCTCCTGTGACAATGAGCAACAGAAGAGCGCCTCAATTCCAGGCACACACTTGCACACCCAAAACTGTGAGCCGGGTTCTTGGAATGTGGGTGGCAGGGCTTGGAAGAGGTCTCACAGAGTCACAGCTGGACAGTGCTGCTTACAGGGTCGGTGTAGGAGACAGGTGTGTGTGGACACTTTGTAAAAAAACAGGCAAACAGGTGAGCATGGTGGCTATTTACATACCTGTAATCCCAGCACTTGGGAGGCTGAGGCAGGAGGATCTCAAGATCCAGCCCAGCCTGGGCAACTTAGCAAGACCTTCTCTTATAATAGGGCTAAGGACGTGGGTTCAAACCTAGACTTTCAATTCAGTCCCCTTAGAAGGCCCGGCCACATTTACTTCTGCGTCTTCTTTAATGATAATAATTAAATGCTACATTTTGATGCTTCTATTCTTACTGCAGCCTCCCAGGCAGGGAAGAAACCAGTGAGAGGCTCAGTTTCTATCTTGACTTTGCTTTTCCCCGGTGCTAATTCCAGAAAAAGAATCCAGCAATTAGGAGCACTTGGAGCGTGATAAGGATGCTCGCATGGAGAAGGAACCGCGTCCAGGCTTCCCTGACGAACCTCTTGGTGACTCACTGCGCTCCAGAATTTGCCGCTGAGGCTGAAGCCTCATTTGGCTTTGAGACATGAAGTCACCGTTCTGTTCCTTCCCCCAGCACCACTGACAACCCCGTTATTAGGAGCTGGGGAAGGTGTGCAGTATTTGCTGAGTTTCTGCTCTCAGCAAGCACTTCAGCATACTCCACACAGCTGCGTCCATTTCTCTGGCTTTCAAACCCACACCCTGGACCACAGTGTCATGCTTCCCAAGACAAGGAGCATTATTTTCCATGCTTGTACCCAACATGACACTCAACCCAGGAGGACCCTGAGGTGGGTGAGACACCCGGGAGACCCCGACCACAAACACCTGCCAAGAGGCCGTGACAGATTTCCCTCTCCGCTCTGTCCTGTGGACTCTCATCAGCGGACCTGGCTCAGCACCACTGGGTCCCTTTAAACACACACCGGCTAGGATTTATCTGTACGTTTTTAAGAAAATACAAAATTGGGCATCGTCCTTGGGACATCTGTCTTCAAATGTAAGGGGACGTTGCTCTGTTATTAGCCTTACTTTGGGGAAATCCAGCTCAATCACCAAACCTCCACACTTAAGAAAGAAGCCGTTAAAAACATCTGTGATTCACTACCACATTCTTTTTGTCCTACCAAAGGGATAAGGAGGTTCTTTACGGTGGCTATTAAGAAGCAACATGGATGCTACTATTTGCTATGATCCCACATAATTAATAACTCCAGAACTGCCATTAGCAGGCAGGATTTAAAGTAGCTGGCTCACCATGATAGCTCATAGCCTTCGACAGCAAACTTTAAGAGCCCTCAAAAGCAGACTTTACTTGCAAGATGTGTAATGTGTTCCACAGAGGCTTCTTATGAACAGTCACCTTATTTATTTTTTTAGCTCTAATGAAATCCTTAGACTTAGCAATTTGGCAGATAATTATAAAGTCAGCATTCTTAAAAGCACGGAGCAATGCTGATTAATTTCCTCCTGGGATTCTCCTGGACAAATTATAAAATTCCTCTTTTAAATATTCCTAACAATGTTTAGGCATGGAGTTCCTTGCTATTTTTTTTCTGATGGGGGCTGTGTGTGCCTTCAAAGAACACCGTCCTGAAAATGTCGATCAGATAAAAGAGGAACAACTAGACTGCAGATTCTCTGGTCCAAGACGAGCAAGTGAAGACATCATAAAATTTGAAGTAGACAGGGTTAAGACAGCGCGCTGGGACAGGATGGTGCTGAGACTCTGCTGTCACTGGGTAGGAAGGGCCACACTCCACCGGAGTGATCGCTGGATGCTGCGGACCGTCGGGTGGTAGGACCCCGGGATACAAAGTGGACACAGCTGTGTAGCCAGACAATGTCATGTGTGTGTGAATGATAGTGACCCCAGGCAGCTGAGCTCAGAGCCTCTCTGACACCCCGACATCAGAACACAGATGGAGCACTGCAACTCTTAAAGTGAATATTACACAATCAGCAGAGGGAGTGGGCTGAACACACAACAGCTCCGGGCAAAGGTAAACAGGTGGGGTTACCCAGGGAGGGAGGCATGGCGGCCGTTTGTCTACAAGATGTCCTTGTGTATCTCACAGGCCTGGAGCATCTCCTGACTGCCCGGGACAGGCTCCTTCCAGAGATGCCTGCTCTGCCGCTGCATCTTCTGGATGGTTAGACTGGCACACGTACGTCACCCAGTGAACATGGGAGGAAGACCACTGCCTAGAGGAAGAACCCGAAAGGACGGGTGTGGGCCTCATTCTGGATACACTGTGGGCTTTACTGTCTACCAGGGCTCACTCAGGTCAGCAGCCTATAACCCAGGGCCCGACTGTCCCAGGAGGACTCACTGGGCCACGGAGGAAGGAGAGAAGCAAAAGAATCACCTAAGTTTATGACCATCCTGGCATTGCACCTAGTACCTGGTTTAAAGAAGTGTACCTTTTGATGCTAGAAAACAGTTTTAAATGCAACGAAAAGAAATCATCTCAAACCAGGCATGGTGGCTCACACCTGTAATCCCAGCACTCGAGGCAGAGGCAGGAGGATTGCTGTGAGTTGGAGACCAGCCTAGGCTACAAAGTAAGCTCAAGGCCAGCCTGAACTGCATAGTGAGACCCTGCCTCAAAAAGACAAAAGGGCCAGAGATGAACGGCTCAGTGGCACAACACCCTCTTGGCAAGCCCAAGGTCCTGAGTTTGATTCTCAGTATATATAAAGAAAAAAGTCATCTCAAACACTTGGAGCAATTCTTAAATAAATTTTACAGAAAGAAAAAGCATTTTATTTGGAAATAATAAGAAGAAGGCTACTGGTTACCCTTAGAATTAGCAATGTGTTTGTTTTCATTTATATTTAACTCCAGATATAAATAA